CTTGAAATACAAGCTTTGTTTCCATATTAAAAACAAGATTTTAAGTTGAAGAGCAAGCAGTTACCAGAATATATGTGAAATTGTTCTCCTCTGAGAACACTCATTGGCTGTTCAAAACTACATCATTCTTTTCCTACATATATGAATTTTATCTCACTTTCCACTCTCTAATCCAAACTTCTATTCTCTTATTAAGGGTTTGATTTTTGGAAGGTCAGAAAGAAATAATCAAGTGTTGATTTTAGTAATTTGTACTAATCATAATGAGTGAATAGTATTAATCTTGATTTACTTTTTTTTTTTTTTTTTAGGGCAGTTTTAGGTTCACAGTGAAATTGAGCAGAAGTTTCAGAGATTTCCCATATAGCCCCTGCCTCCACATATGTACAACCTCCTCCATTATCAACATCTCCCACCATAGAAGAGTGGTATATTTGTTAGAATTGATTAACCTACATTGACACATTATTAGCATCCAAAGTCCATCATCTATATTAAGGTCCTCTCTGTGTTGTACGTTCTGTAGATTTGGACAAACGTGTGACATGTACCCACCATTATAGTATCATAGTATCTTCACTTACATTTTATTTTCATTTACAATTTGAAATAGGATTTTAAAAAATCCAAATTATCAGTCTTTGGAGAAAAGTATTTGCTGGGAAGTATATGGGGGAGTATGCACAAATAAAGCAATAAAAGGACCGTTAGTTTTGATACCCTTGATTGGCTTACAGACCTCCAAAATCTCAGAGATTGGTATTCCTTTAAAGAGCCTTCAGTCTTCTCTTTGGCGGGAGGAGGCACTTATAAGCCTAGTAAAGAGCTAGGGCTTTGGAGTAAAGGCACATAGACCTGGGTTCACATTTCAGTCTTTACCACTTAAATAACTGCAACATTATGCAAATTATTTAACATCTTTAAGCTTCACCTTCCTCATTTGTAAATATCATTAAGGTACTACCTCACAGAGTTGTGAGGATTATACAAAAAACATTAGAAAAGTACCTAGCACATAATGAATATTCACTATATGTAAACTCTTATTGTCAGATTGAGTGTATATTTTGTTTTTATTGGGTGGAGTGTTCTATAAATGTCAGATCAAGTTGGTTGATAGCATTGTTCAAATATTCTGTCCTTATGGATATTTCTTATCACCTCTAATATCAGTTATCAAGAGGAGTGTTGAAATTACCAAATTAAATTATGGATTTTTTTTTTATCTCTTTTAATTCTAGCCATTTTTGCTTCCTGTGTTTTGAAGCTGTGTTATTAGGTACATACACATTTAGGATTGCTATGCCTTCTTGAAGAATTAACCTTTTTTTCATTGTGAAATGCTCCCTCTTTATCCTTGGTAATGCTCCATGTTCTAAAATTTACTTTGATATTCATAAGGCTACTTCAGTTCTTTTTGATTGTTTGACTGGTATATCCTTTTCGTTTCTTTAGTTTTTAACATATCTCTGTCTTTAAAGTGGATTTCACATAGACAGCATATAGAGGGATCTTGTTTTTATCTAATCTGACAGTCTGACTTTTAATTGGACTGTTTAGACTACTTATAGTTAATGAGATTTTTGATAAGATGGTGCTTAAATTTACCATTTTGCTCTTTGTTTTCTATTTATCTCATCTGGATTTAGTTCTTTTTCTCCTCTTTTCCTGACTTCTTTTTGATAGATTATCTTTTATGATTATATCTTTATCTCTACTATGGTTTATTAGCTTCTTTCCTTCTTCTTCCCTTCCTCCTTCCCTCCTCCTCTCCTTTCCTTTTGGGGTTGTTCTGAGGTTTACAAAATAAATATTTAACTACTCTACTTTTAAATAATAATATACCACTTTACATATAAGAACCTTACCAACAGTATTCTTACATTTCTTCCTCCCATCCTTTGTTGTCCTACATTTTACTTTTACATATAGATCCCACAATCCATAATTATTACTTTAGCCTCCAACAATTATCTTTTAAAGAAATTTTTAAATGAAAAAATGTCTTTTATATTTGCCCACATATTTGCCATTGCTGTTGCTCTTTATTCCTGGCTGTTGGGAAAATGAATTTTTCTCTGCCATGTGTGCTGTGGCTCTTGTCCTGCCTGCTCCTTTACCCAGTCTTGGGTAGTTTCGTTGCATACTTGTGCAGTACTCAGAGACTCAGGGGAACCCTTTTGCAATTATCTGGCGTCTTTTCAGTGCAGCACCATCCTCTCTGTATTTTGCCAGGCCAATTCTAATAACTTTGGCCTTCCTGCACTCTACACAATTTCCCCATTTCAGCAAATTAGTCCTGTTTGAGTTGCCTCTCCCTGTGCATGGCCTAAAAACTATCCCTGCAGTGATCTGGGGGCACTTTTAGGACTTACCATGATAGTCCCCTTCTCTCTAGGGTTACTTTCTCATCTACCTGTTGTCTAGTGTCTGAAAATCATTATTTTTTATATTTTGTCTGATTAAAGGAGTAAAGTAAACCCAATCCCTGTTATTCATTCCATCATGACTAGGAGTGGAATTATTAGACTGAGTGAAGGATTAAATTCCAAGTATTAAAGAACTTTTTCCAGTCATACAATAAGTAAAATGCTATTTTTAGTTTTCCATATTGATAAAAATGTTTCAGAAAAGATGCTGCCAGTTTATGTTTTGAGCTGAATTGTGCCCAATTTATTTTTTTGCTTAAAAACAATGAATAGTACATCCAAATGGCTCAAAAACAAAAGGTATACGTAATTCAGTCCCTCACTCATCTAGTTTCCAACTACCACCACCCTTACCCCACATTTAGACAGCGTTTGTCATAAGTTTTTTGTGTATCTTTCTGTGCTTTTATAAATACATATATTCTTATCCCATAAGTTCTCATATTTTATGTAAAAGCATACTACACATACCGTACTTTTTTAACTTAGCAATACATTTAAGAACTCTTTCCTTATCAGTACATGAAAAACATGCTTTTTAATTTTTTTCTTGTTTTTTCTTTATTTTTTATTTTTAAATTTATTTTATTAAGTTTATTGGGTTAACAATTTTAAAACCATACAATATTCCATTTTGTGAATTAAACCGTAATTTATTTAGTACCTTAGTCTTCATTTTGTGATGTTTTAGTCTTTTGCACTGAAATGAGTAGCCTTGTACATGTTTCCTTTTGCACGTGTGCAATTGTATCAGTAGAAAATTTCTGAGAAATGGAATTGTTTGGTCATAGGATAAATGTATTTTTAATTTTGATGATAATTGCCAAATTGCACTCCATTGCAATTAAATCATTTTATATTCCCACATGCATATTCTGAGTGCCTTCCCCCTCATATCCTCATCAACATCAAACTTCAGATTTGTGTCTACTTATTGATTTTTTAAATGACATCTCATAGTAGTATAAATTTGCATATTTTTTAACATGAGTGAGATTGGGCATTTTCCTGTGTTTAAGATCCATCTGTATCTTTTCTATGTTCTCTTTATATTCTTTACTCATTTTCATATTGAACTATTGGATTTTTTTCTTCTCTGTAGTCTTTTGCGATGTAACATACAGACATTTTTTTCCAGTTTGTTGTCTGACTTTTAACTGATAGTGTTTTTAGCCATACATATAGTATTTTTTGTGTGCTTTTTTTTCATTCCTTTATTTCTTCTTTTAATGTGATTGAATTCTTTGAGGACTTCTGCATTTTGAATTATAGTTAAGAAGCACCCGATAATTTAAAAGCTAGGTAAATACTTGATTTGGAAAGATAACTATAAAGCGCAATTTTGTTCTCCTAACAACTTGATAGTACAATTTAGTAGGGGGGTAAGTGTTTTGCTTTAATTTGAACATAAAGTCAAACAATTATATAACACATTAGTTTAGCAACCAGTTATGTAGTAAGATGTGGAGTCTTTAGATTGCCACATCTAATGGTATATTCTTTTAGGTTATCTCCATGTGTTTGCCTCTCTTGAATAAATCAGGCACTCTAATAGGAATAATGCCTTTATTATCTTAAAACATTATTTCCGCTTCATTGTTAAAATGTGTCTCAAGTACTAAAGTTTAAAAAATAAGATTATAAGAAATTTCTCAGAAAATATGTAATAGGCTGATTTTAATACCTTCAAAAGATACTTTTTCTTCTTAATTATCCTTTTTGTGTTAAAAGGGAAGGGAATCATGGGTGTACGAGGTATCTAATTCCTTTCAGGTACTGAATTAGAGAGCACAATTCAAAATTGGTAGGCTTAGAATGTGATGAGACCAAGCATTAGTTCATGGTTTCTGAGAGTGCTCACTCTATTACAGCTCTGTTATCTCTGTTCTATAAAGGTCCCATTTCCCTTTAAGTGTATTTATTGAAGAGGGAAAAGAGTTGAGTGGCCAACTGATTAGACAGTATTTTATTTGCCCGTCTTGCCTCTTTGCTGTATGCTCTATCATAATCACTATGCTACTTTGAATGTATTCTTCACTTTGAACAGTATGGCTTGAAAACTGAATAGTGGATAAATAATTACTTATTAGACTCCACATAAACAAATTAGCCTTTGTTTGCCTTTTTGACAAGTAAATGGATTTGGAAAGTTCTAACATTTTATAAGTCATCTAATATTTTTGTGTTTCTACTGATTGTTATTTTACTTGTTGATTAGTTTTGTAAATTCATACAAATCTTTGAAAAAGTTGTTCAAGATAGTAGTGCCATTTCAGTATTAATGATTAAATATATAGATCAAAGCATGATATATTTTGGCTAAGAAAATATGAATAGAGCAACTTTTTATTTGAATAGGGATACTTTTAGATCATGTAATTTTATCTACTTGTATTCCTACTCATAAAGTAGATTTAGCTTACTTTAAGGAAAGTTGTTCAAATATTTAAACATAAAATAATTCAAGATTAACTTTGATTAAGCATAATTTAAATAATCTTAAATTAGAAACTTAAAGTAATTTCGTGCATGGATCTTCTGTGTAATGAAACTTATTTTTTATTTGCCCAGCAGAAATTCAGGAAGCAAAAGCTCCCAGTCCTTCCATAAACCGGCAAACCAGCATTGAAACGGATAGAGTATCTAAAGAATTCATAGAATTTCTCAAGACCTTCCACAAGACAGGCCAAGAAATCTATAAGCAGACCAAGCTGTTTTTGGAAGCAATGCATTACAAAAGGGTAGGTTGAGAATAACTACTTAGAAACAGAGTTGTGGTTTTAGGAAAGGTCTTAGAGATAATCTAATGCAGTTGTCATTTACACCTGAGAAAATCAAGACCCAGAGATGTTAAGTTATGCAAGAAATGTCACTGTACCAAGTTAAAACCTGATTCTCGGACTAGTACTTTTCTACTACAGCTCAGTGGTATTGGATCATCTTTGCATGAAAAATATGACATCCAAGACACTTTATTGCATATTTTAGTAATAAGCCTTCCTAACTTATCACCTTGTAAATATTATAAACTGCCATAGTAGACCTTGAACTCTTAAGTAACAGTTGTTAGACTAGTAGCAATCATTTTAGCATATTTTTGTTTTTGTTTTGTTTTGTATTTTGATTTTTAATTTTCCTCTCCTTGCTAAGGTAGAGAAGGGAAAGCTTCTCTACCTTAAAGCATTATGTAGAATATAGATATTGAAAGGGACCTTAGCAATTTTCTTAGTTTTAGCCTTCTTATTTTATAGATGGGGAAATAGCCAAAGAGGATAAGTGACTTGTCCGAAGTTACACAGCTAGATTCTGCCAAGGACAACTAAAACTAGTGTCTTCCACATGTGTGTCTTTAACTCGTAATTTCAGTTACAAAAATTTATAAGACTACCTATGAAAGGACTCATCTTTAGCAGGAAGCACTATATCTGCACTAAGACTTAAAATTTTTCTTATCCCAAAAGAGAAATTTTGGTTAAATTTTTTAGCACCTATATAATTCGTGCAACACTGCAGTATTGCATTGTAATGCTTTACTGTTCAACAGATATCATATAAACTCTTCTAAAGCTGGTTTATTTTTCCCTTTTTTCTTTTTGGTTAATCTTATTAGATCCTTAATATTAAAATTTATATTGTCTTATAGTCCCTTTTTATATCCTTTAAGTTGTTTTTCTGTTGCAAATAAGACCGGCATCTACTTCATCAATGCAAAATCCATTCATGTTGAACATACAGTTGTTATCATCTACTTTCCTGTTTTCAGAAGTCACCATAGCAAGAATTTAAATTTCAGTGAAAAAATGGCCAGGGAGTTGGAGGTGTGCATGAAGAAGAAGCTAAGAAGAATTTGCAAGGTTTAGTTTTTTAATCTTATCATTACAAAAGAACTATAAGAATCTCACTGTAAGAACCAAGCTTTAACTAGGTCTGAGTGGCCACGGATCCAGAGACGTATATGGTCACCAAGGAAATGAAGGATGTATAAATTTCTTTTGTCATTTGGACAGAGCCTTATGTGCCCAGGATAATTTTAAAGCATTATGTAGAAGTAAACCTTCCCTATCATAACTAGAACACTATCTTTTCCTAACTTAATCAGTACTCTGGCTTTGTAAAGAATTTTTTTCCACAAATTTATTTATACGTAAATATTTTCAAAACACACAGGATGTAGTTAAATCAAAGTAAATAAGACACCTAGAGAAACTAGTGCTGCCCAACTGTTTAAGTCCTGCCCTTGCTAAGTGTTAATAAATCCCTCAGATGCATTTTCTCCTATTCTGAAACTATAGCCTGCCCTATTTTAAAAAGTGTATCCTGTGTCACCCTCTACTTCTCAAAATACTGACCCTTTAATTTATTGGATATTGCATTAAAGCACTTTAATAAACAAATTTTCTGGGTTTCTCAATGCAGTTTTTAAAACAAGATTCCTTTATTAGCAGTCGTTCAGATATGCTTTTTCCTTTTTAAGGAAATGAGCAAGCACAACGTAAGACCTTTTACTGCCTTCACTGTTCTTTTCTCAGTGTATATAAATCTGGTATTGATTATATTATGGAAACTTAAATTTTTTCTGATATTAATTCTCTTGAAAAACTTTCTCTAAACCTGACTAAAGAGGAAAAAATATTATAGTTTAAAACATGGCTGTATCTTCATTTATCTTCTTTTCCCCCAAATAAAAAGAAATCATTCTATACCTTAAAATGACTTCAGTATTCTAAACCATATGTGTATACAAGGAGTAGTTTGCCCTGCTATATAATTATTGTTAGGAGAGCAGAAGTATGTATCTAAAACAAAGAAACTTTAATCAACAAAACAGACTTTAGTTATGCTAAGAAAATTAGTGGGGGAAGTAACCCAGGTCCCAATTTTAAAGTTAGGAGCAGCAAGGATGAGAAGTAAGGTAACATGACAATGAGAAAACATCTGAGCTGATGGAATCTATATATCATAAGAAACAAAAGTAGATAAAAGAGTAAGTCGATAACTATGTTAAACGTTATGAATGAATAAAAGTAGTCAAGACTTTGTCACAGAATACAGTGATGTGTGGGAGAAAACTTAAAACATTATTGAGGGACAGCCATGGTGGCTCCATGGTGAGGCTGATGAGACACAGCCTCCCAGCTTTGGCATTGTCTCTAAGGCCCTCTTCTATTGTGCACAGCTACAAAACAAAATAATAATGACCAGAGTGAAGAGGACGTAGGTCAAAATGGAACAGAAGAGAGATACTCCCTCTACAGAGAAGGTGTTTATGGAAGAGAATGTCAGGTTAGAAGAATAGCTGAAAGAGACTATGGAAAAATATAAGCGAGCTTTGAGAGATACCGAGAATTTGTTGCAGAAAAGCCAAAAAATGGTGGAGGTGGCAGATTACATGGTATTTAGGGTCTCTGCAAGGACTCGTTAGATGTCGCAGACATTTTGGAGAAGGCCAACACAATGTGTTTCAAAAGAAGAAATTAAAGATGATATTCATCTGAAGAACCTTTAAGAGGGCCCCATGATGACTGAAGTCTATATTCAGAAAGTGTTCATGAAGCAGGGCCTACTCAAGTTGAACCAGTTACAGTCCAGACTGAGCCACATTTGACCCTTGCAGGCATGAGGCCTTGTTCCACATGCTGGTTGATAGGAAAGAGTTGGGCATAGTGATGCTAGTTAACAAAGTAGGGTACAAGCTGCATGGGCACACCCCAAGACCTACCCTGGTGAGCAGGGTGAAAGAAACTTAACTGCCTCTTGAAGAGTTGTGTTTTTTGTTTTGTTTTGTATTTTAACTAGCTGCTATAACTCTTGAAAGTCTGGTTCACTTTTTTCACCTATGAATACTTTTGACTTTTTCCCAAACATTGTTTGAAAGCCCAAGTAACTAGCATCTAAACACCTAATCATACAATTGCATCAATGAACTTTAATTCGGAAGCCTATTCCATTGATTTCAGGACTGCATGCTTAATAGCTTCACATACTTACAGAAGAGGGCAACGGGACACTATTGAACCTCTAGAGCATCACGACCTTGCCCCAGACGGAAACATTGTACTGGCCAGTAAACAATTTTCCCTTTTTTTCTCTTGAGGGAGGCCCAATCTCTGTGTTTCAAGGCCGTTTGTTATATAACTATCTTTGAAAAGAGTACAGAACAAAGGTAGTGCCTCTCCTCACAAAATGTATGGAAATATAAAAGATCTATGTAGAATTGTCTCCCAATATTTTCACAGTATTATAAGGCAGAACAATAATAAATGGGCACATTCATTCCTCCTTTCATTCAGCTAATATTGAGCACTATCCCTATCCCTGGTTCTGTTATAGGGACTGAGAATATGGTGGTGACATGTTAGTCGAGCTGATATGTTAGTAGAGGAAATAGATAATAAACCAATTTATAATATAACAGTGGTAAGTCCTAGAAGGAATATAAAGCAAGATAAAAGGTAGGGGAATTATTTTACATTATAAAATAAACATTATAATGAAGTAAATCTACATAGAAATAGAAATATAAAAAGGAATTTTCTGAATTATAAAATTACAGTGATTGTGTGGAGCTGTGGGAGGAGTAAATGATCCATTGGTACCAATAAAATAGGCCAGTTATACCTTTAAAAGGACAGTGTTTCTAGCTAAAAGTGAATACTAGTGATAATCATAAAAATGAACGTAGTTTATTCTAAGTGTTAAGATTTCTGCAAATGAATGGTAACCATGTCTAAGCTCCCTAAGTAGATGAATAGATAGTCCATTGCAGGAAGTGTAAGTAAAATTATAGCATCATAAAAGAAATTAAAATGTTGAGTCCCCGTATAAAAAATAAAATTCATAGGTTTAATAGTAAAATAAATTTTATCTCATAAACTCCATAATGGTAGTCTATCTTTTGTTATTTAAATCCAGTTTGCTTATTAGAAGGATTTGAGATTTATAAAATGATTTAAAATAAGAGTGAAAGAACAAGGGAATGATTGATGATATGTAGAATTTATAAACATGTTCTTATGGACATGTTCTTCATATAGCTGCTGCTATGACTCTACTCATGAAAGTCCAGGCATAATATTAAAACTAATTCTCTGAAGAAATGTTTTCAGTGGACCTAAACTTGTCTGGTGATCTAATTTTGTAGAAAGGTGAAACTTAGAGAATTTACAATATAATATCTTTAGTTGATTTATAGATTAGGGCTGGATAGGAAACAAAAGTTTGGAGTCTCATTAGGAATTGACAATACCAAAAGGAAAGCCACATATTTGACATACCCAGCATGTTCTGGTAGAGACCCACCCTCCTTCTCCATAGAGGCACCAGCAGGAGTATGCTCAGTAGGATTAGGATTTTTCTTATAGATTAGTGATGGATCTAGTTGGTTCATACCACAGAGCATGAAGGAGACAACCTATCTCATGACCATCACTAGAAACATCTCATCATTACCATCTTACACAAGTATTAGTATGAAACAAGAATACTTACTGCTGCTACCACCATACCTATTTAGAGATGATATTTGAAGATAGTTGGAATAAGAAAAAGAAGTAAGAGATTTGCCATATGCCCCATGACTTGGTCCTATCATAGAATATGATTATTTGCATTCAGTCTTCCTATTTAAGCTGAATGCTCTCTGAGCATTTTATTAATCTTTTTATATTATTGCCTGGTACAGTGTCTGGCAGTTCTAATCACGTAATAAGTGTTTTTAGAATGGATAGAAATAGAAGTTTCAGGAAACTCAGGAAAAATAATCTTATCAGGAAAATCCAAGAGAAAGCAGAGGTATAAATTTAGCAACATAACGAGATAAAGTCCACAAAATTCAGTTACAACATGACATGCCAATGATAAAAAGCCTAGCACATTCTTTAAAAATAGCAATTTAAAAGACAATAGCAATAAATAAGATTAAATATTAATAATCTAGTATAAAAAGAGGTTTGTTCAAAGAATTAAAAGACTAAGGGTTGTATCTAGGAGCTAGCTGAGGAAAATAAAAAGTTTATGAATACTTTGCAGGTCAATATGAACACTTAAAATACAATCTTTGGGGGAAGGGAGAGGAGGTTTCTAAATTTATCAGATTTCAAAATATATTCTAAAATAAAAGTAATCACAACTATATGTGATTTTGATGTTAAAAAACATATAGTATATAAACCAGGATTCCAGAAATAGTTTCAGTTTCTCACATACAAATTATATGACAACTGGAAAACAAAGGAAAACAGGGTCGTTTTTTACTAATTGCTACTAAAAAAGACAGGGAAGCTTGTGTACAGATTACTTAAGGTCTTATGTTTCATACTGGGTACCTTACATTCCAGCCATATAAAAGAGCTAAACATGAAAAAACTTGGAAATAGCTTAGGATATTTATTTTACCTGTAGAGGGGGAATTGTTGAAGAATTATTCTTAATAAACAGGTAAACTGTCCAGTAGCATTAACTTTTTAAACATCTGTGCAATGAAAAATTAAAGTCAGATAATGTGGAAAAAACTGGGAAATGGAGGTGAATATAAGTACAAGCTTAACATTACAAAATATATAAAATTTACTAAGGGTAGTACCTAGTTCTTACTAGAAAAAGGATCAATTCTAATTCAACCAAATGGCTCTTACGTAAATAAAACAGTAACAAGAGCTGTAGTCAAGGTGGTCACAGAGTGCTGTAAATGCTGTGAGACCTACAAGGTTATTTTAAGGGAATGAGAGACTTCTTAGAGGAGAGAAGGTATGAACTGAGCCTAAAGGGTGATAACTATGGGACTTCCTTGAATAACGGTTTGAGGATTAGAGAGGAGTAAAGGTAATCTGGACAAAGAATAATTTCACAGTATCAGAGATGTGGGAAAATTAAATGCAGATTCTCAGAACAATAGGTAACCTGGCAGGGAAGTGGGAAGGATGATGTAGTGTTTGAGCTGAGTGTACTCTTCAGCATCCATCTGATGGATAACTTGGAAGTTTGAGGCACAGTGTGACTAGATTATAATCTAATGTGATCAACTGGACTGTGTTGTGTAAAAGATAGGTTGAAAAATGAGAGAGATCAAAGGCAGAGAGAGCCACTAAACAGGTGAGGGGTAAAGTGGGCCCAAACCAGGAAAGAATCAGAGGAAGAGACATTGTAAAGGCAGGTAAGGCAAGGTTTGGTTACTGCCCCAACACTAGGACATCCCTTCTGAATTAAACCAGAGGGCCAGGGTCTGCATATTTTACCAGGGCTTTGTCAGCCCTTGGCATATGTTGTCATTGGCCTGTGCAGAGGCAGCCTATGAGAAACAGTCCTGTAGAATTTGTCTTGGGTCATATTAATGCCTTTCTACAGTGACATCTTTATGAGGATCCTTGGGAGAAATTTCTGACTTTGGTGTCAGAATTTTACCAAAGAATTAGTTTGCTTTATATTTTGGAGTCTCAATTACGTGACTATTTTCATTTTAGTGATGATTGCTAGAAAGTTTAGTTAGAGAAAGATTTATGGGCTGACTATTGAGTAAGTTTTCTATCTTCAAAGAATCCATTTTTGTGTTGTCATTCCTGGCTTTACTTTCTGTTTCCATGGTTGTTTTTTTTTTTTTCTTTAAATCACCTTATAGTTTGTTGAGATGAACTGTGTTTTTCTTTTATGTAGACTTCAAATATTCTTTGGAAGAAAGTGGAGAATAAATATATGTATTACACCTATAAAATCAGTAAAACCAAATAAAATTTGTAAATAGATGCTTAAAGTTATAAAGTTGTTCATACTTAGAAACTATTAATGCCACTTTTGAAAATATCACACAAAAAAAATAACCCATAAGAAACAGTCGCCACACAATTGTTTATTGCTACATTACATACTAGTGAAAAAAGGGAAGGAACCGAAATGCACAGTAGTAGAGGATGGTTTAAAAAATTGGTTAATATAATAGAATGTTATATGGCCATCAAAAATAGTTAAGTATATTATTAGATAAATAGAAGTGTACATAAACATGTAAATTATCAAAATATTCATTATACCCATGAAGAATAAAAAATATATATAATGAAAAGAAATGAGAGGTCATGGGATTTTGTAATTAATATTTATGGATAGGTTTTTTTTTCCCCTGCAGAGTTAATATAATTTCTAAGTACTTTTGAGATGTACCAGTTTGAGTGGGTTTTGGAGACTTCATAAAATTTAAAGCTTTTTTCCTCTTTCTTCATCTACCAAGCACCCTCTATGCCCCTTTGTTTCAGGATTTAAGCATTGAGGAACAGTCAGAGTGTACTCAGGATTTTTACCAGAATGTGGCTGAAAGAGTGCAGACTCGTGGAAAAGGTAATACTTTGGTAGCCCGCCAGTCTCTTGGCAGTTTCTCCTTTCTCGGAAGGCCTGGCTGGTGTTCCCACTCTGCTTTAGAAATTACTCCAACATTCTGGTAGCTTATACTTAGCAGTGCCTTTGAATACCACCATGTTTATTATTCCTACATAATCTGAACAATTGAATAATTTATTGAGCTGTGTTTAATAACTTCATTAGGAGTAGAGGCAGAGTTGATTAGCACCCTTTATGAGGTTTCTAAGTAAAACCCCAACTTGGAATTACTATCTTGGTCAGTTATTTGTTCATGATTATGTATTCTTTATGTGGGTTGGGGTAGGAACAAAATTGACAACTGATTTAGCACTTTAGGTTTTTAGGGATCTTTCTTGAATTTGACTTCCATCAATGTTAGATTTGAGGATGTACTTAGCATACATGTATACCTGAGAAATCTGCCCTATATGTATACTTTGGAGTGATCTCTAAGGCTTTATAGTAAGCCTCAGAGAAGTGAAAAGGTGAGTCTTGCCAGCAGTCATCAGTTTTGGAAATTTCAAGTGCATTTCTAATGTAGCAGTAGAGAGTGACCCATACTAAGGTTTCCCCACTAGGGTGTTAGGAAGACCTAACACCTGTTAGGTCCTGCCAGAACAGCTTAAGTTAGAAGTAGGAATTCTGTAAAAGGCAGTCCCAATGGTGAGGTAATTTTTTAAGGATATTTTTTAATATAACATCTTATATTTTTGTTTCTGGGTGTGTTTAATGTATTTCTAGCAAATTAGTTTTCTGCTATATAGAAAGTACTATGAAAACATATTCTTAATTTTAAGTGTCCATCTTTATCTTGAGCTTTTATATCCATCTGGATATTTCAGTGCCTCCAGAAAGAGTTGAGAAAATAATGGATCAGATTGAAAAGTACATCATGACTCGTCTCTATAAGTATGTGTTCTGTCCAGAAACTACTGATGATGAGAAGAAAGATCTCGCTATTCAAAAGAGGATCAGGTAGTTGATTGTTTTGCTTTGTCTTGTTATATAGTAGTCCGCCCTTATCTACAGGGGAAACATTCCAATACCTCAAGTGGACGCCTGAAATTCAGATAGTACTGAATGCTATATATATTATTTCCTCACATACATACATACCTTTGATAAAATTTAATTTATAAATTAGGTACAGTAAGAGACTAATAATAATTTATAATAAAATAGAACAATTATAACAGTATACTGTAATAAAAGTTATGTGAATATGGTCTCTCTCTCAAAATATTAAGTTGAGAATTTCCACCTTTTCACTTAAAGCTCCTTACAGCTTCTCTTTGGCATTTCTGAATTGCCAGCATTAGTACTCTTGTGCTTTGGGGTCATTATTTAAGTAAAATGAGTTTTACTTGAACACAAGCACTGCAATGCCATGACAGTCGATTTCATAACCAAGATGGCTACTAAGTGACTAAGGGGCAGAGACTGTATACAGTGTGGAGATGCCGGACAAAGGGATGGTTCATGTCCCAGACACAGTGGGATGGCATGAGATTTAATCACACTACTCAGAACAGCACATAGTTTAAATAAACAATTCTAAAATTGTTTATTTCTGGAATTTTCCATTTAATATTTTCAAACCGTGTTTGACCCTGGGTAACTGTGGATAAGGGAGACTACTGTACTGCTTTATATAATAGGAAGAGGTTTCTAATTCATAGCCACTACACATTCCCAATTCAACTCATTCTAATCTACCTTGTCTAACTTCACCCAAAGTCAACACACCAAAGCATTTCTTCTTCTTAAACATTGTTGGAGTAGAATATCATGCTACTAAGTGACTAATGGGCAGGTAGAGTACACCATGTGAATATGCTGGACAAAGGGATGATTCACATCTTGGGTGGGACAGTGTGAGGTTTAATCACACACACTACTGAGAATGGCAATTTAAAACTTATGATTTGTTTCTGGAATTTTTCACTTAGTTTTTTTGGACCACAGTTGACCATGAGTAACTGAAGCCGCAGAAAGCAAAACTGTGAATAAGGGGGGAGACTTATTTACTACTGTATTTACTACCAGCTGTTGGAAGAACACATTGTGGGAAAACAGAGCACTTGAATTTCAAACCTTGAGAGCAAGTGACAGCTAAGGTCCTGTCATCCTTAGCATATAATCTGTCAAAAAGAAAAGGAATATGGTACATACATAGGAAATGGCTCAAGTCACCATCTTGCTTATCCATCTGATTCCAAGCAGCTTTAGATAAGAACCATATTTGATGTTTGAGATTGTTTCAAATCTCCAAAATTCTGAGGAGGAAATTTCATTATTTTCTCTTTTCATTGTACTATCTTGATAACCATATCAAGGCAATGTCATTTTTTCTCATCTATACCAAGGGTGCTTGTTATTCAGCCATTCTCCAATCACTTTCCACTAGCACTGGGTTGATAATATTTTGCAGAGCACCCGGTTTTCCGTGACCAACAGAGTAAGCCTCAGTTCTCTGCATTCCAGTGGCAGTGAAACACTTAGGAAATAAGCAATCAAATTTGGTAACTGGGCAAAGACTGAGCATGATGAGGTATTTCTGGAGGAGAGAGGCCAAGGAATTTCAAATGGAGTTCCCAGACAGTGAGGCTGGTAATTGGTACTTTCTGGTGTCACACTAGAAGTGAGAAGTTGATATTGGAAAGATGGAAGATAGAGCCAGAACTAACAGGATGGGCTTGGACTGAGATGAAGAGTGAGAACGTTAAATAAGCAAGTGGTGAAAATCAGCAGTAGAATTTTTAATGTGAAGCTATAATGCGATCAGGGAACTCAGTGATTCAGGGTGAGGTGACACATGCTTGTTGCACTCTTACATAGGCTCTGGTATGCCTCAGAAGTTGAAGGCAGAGACTAATAGGACATTGATGGTGGTAGACAGTGAGGACAGGGAGCATTAGATTCCTCTCAAATAATTTCCAAATATCTAGTGCTTTTCAGACTTAGTATAATCTCATTTCAACCAGTAAAATTGCCTTATGCTTTTCTTGTGGTAAGTGCAAAAGAAAAGCCTCATTTTTGGATTTTAGTTAACTTTGGCACATCATGTGAGCTCCTAATACGTGCTTGGGCCTAGGATTGCCTGAGTCATCAGTGGTTCACCCTATTTCCCCATAACTGAAGGAAATAACAAGATAAATGACTAAAGTCTATTCTTTCAACATTTTTTTTTTTTTTTTTTTTACTATCTTTCTCTCTTGTAGAGCCCTGCACTGGGTTACACCTCAGATGCTTTGTGTCCCTGTTAATGAAGAAATTCCAGAAGTATCTGATATGGTGGTGAAAGCAATTACAGGTCAGTGAAACTGACAGTTTTTATATTTGGATGTTTTTCCCTTGAAGTTAACATTCTATTTTATTACTCTATACTTATTTCAGTGAGCAAAAAGACAGTATTTCTAAAATGCAGATTGCCAAAGATATATTAGAATGTGGTAAAAGTGATTTGTAAGAGTGTTAGTTTCATGAATTTGAAGCATTCTTATTAGCAGATAAACTACTTTTCCCCTTCACTTTACATGACCAAGGTCTCATTTCTTGGGTATTGAACTAAACTAAGGTCAAATACAGCTAGGGTATCTTTCTTTTTCTTTTCTCATTTTATTTTTTAATTAAATTTATTGGAGTGACATTGGTTAATAAAATTATATAGGTTTCAAGTGTACAATTCTATAATACATCATCTGTATATTGCATTGTGTGTTCACCACCCAGAGTCAAATCTCTTTCCATCACCATATATTTGACCCCGTTTATAGGGTAAATTTCTTAAAACTCAGTTGCATTTATATGTTCAAAATAAATTTGGAGTAGGGGAGGGAATTGGTGAGGCAAAGTAGTCCCCAGGCTAGAGCTACATATTAAAATGATGCCTCTAACTGGTTGTTAATCAGAAATGTGCTTTGAATTATTTTTCTTCTTTGTTCAGGAAGTATATGAAGTGCCCTAAATTGATATGGCTCTGCCATTCTGGATAGGTCCAGGCACCTAATAAGGTTTCTTTTTCTTATTCACAGGAATAATTCAGCAGAAGTGCTACACAAACATTTAAAAAACAAAAAACAAACAAACAAAAAAACTCATGATTGAGAAGACATCCAACCTTAGCCAACTGCTCTAGGAGAAGAGATGGAAAGTCTTGCACATTTAGAGATTGTTAATGGAATTCTGGAAAGGAAAGTAGGTTAGCTAATGTTAGCAGGCTATTGTTGGAGGCAGGCTATTAAGTAGACTCCTTTGGTTATAAGAACCAGAGACTCACTCAAGTAACAGGAAGAAATGAGGATTTGCTTAAGATATCAGGATTGGAAGGGAGGCAGACTCTGACAGAAACAGCTCCACAGCCTCTCTGTGGATTCGGTTATCTGCTGTTAACATGATTCATCCACTTTCTCAGGTTCTGCTTTCCTTTGTATATCTGACACAGGACAGGGCACATTCCCCTGAGTGGGCCTGCACAGAGAGAGAGGGTTCTTTGACTGAGTGTAAGAAAGAATTCAAATGAACATTAGAATTAGAGTTAAATGAAAAGTTTATTAGAGAAGGGCTAATAAACTCTTATGCTCAATAGACAGAGCATAGTCTCCTTTCAGAAACAGAGTGAAAGAGCCTGAGAGAAATTCAGAGGGACAGAGACACTGAGAGGGACTGAGATAAAGACACAGAGGGACCCTGAGTGTTCAGGGAATTCAGTTTTTATATCATTCTTAGTTTCTGCAAATTACAGTTTAAAGACTTGGTTCACCCATTTTCTTTTGATGGTATGGGCATATAGCATAAAAGAGGCAGAGTATGTAGCATGAAAAGGTAAGAGTATGTAGTGTGAAAGGCTTGCTGGCAGTTCCTAACCTTTGATCCCTATGTTCCCCATGGTTTTAGCCATAGGGAATGAATGATTTTATTTTCCCATGTAGGATGCCACTTAAAAACTCTGTTTTTCAGTTTTCCCTCCACACCACAGTATGAGGAAATAGTTTGTTAGCAATCCCAGCAGAAATCTTCCTTTGTTCTGCAGGTTTCCTGGTGGTCTGGCTATAGGGCTGATCAGCATTTTGCAATTTTTGAATATAGTTTGATTAAACATTTTAGTTCTCTTGCCTCCTCCCTACATTATGTCTTTTCATTTCAACTCCTGTTATTAAATGAATTATTCTCTTTAATTCCCTGTGTAGAGTCTAGTTGGCCTAGCTAAATACTGCCATCTTTGTTGTTCAAAGCTTTTCTAATAGGCTACATCATAGGTCCAATGAATCGAGTCCCTTGGGTCAAGGCCCACCCCTACTCCTACCTTTCGCTCAGGGAACATTGTAAGAAATTGAAGATGAGAGCCTCTCAAAAAACTAGATGTGGACCTTTTAGACTTTTACCAAGTTCAAGACCAACTGGTTTGTGTTTAAATTACTCCAAGGAATTTATGTTGAGGACTCTTATGAAAAGCCACAGGACAGACCTTGTAAAACCAGAAACAAAAGTGCCCAACTGTTGTTTACTTAAAAATAGAACTAAGAGGATTTCAATACATCAACAGTTTGTTAATAGAATTTGAGAGGTGAAACTTTCCTCTCAAAGCACCTGAGATGGAGTTTCAAGAGATCTTTCAATAAAAAGTCAGCCGCAAAATTTTAAAAACCTTGCTCTTTTCATTTTAGCCCTTACATCTTGCCCATTCAAGTGCAGACATATTCTACCTCTGCGAGGACCAGAGGTTATGTGATTACTTGCTTCCTACTCTAACTAAAATTGTCAGCCTCAGTACGGGAGTATTTAGAGAGGATGGTCTATAATAATGGTCTAAAATATAGAGATATCAGTTAAATTTCTCCAAGTCATCCCATGTGTTACTAATCAGCACTATTAGTTTTGTTTATAAAGAGACTGCATGAGGCATTTTCCATTTTAGTTGACATTTATCATCTAATGGGTAGCCAGGGATGCTGCTAAACATCCTGCAGTGCACAGGACAGTCCCTTAACAACAAAGAACTTTACAGCTTAAAATGTCAGTAGAGCCCAGGTCGAGAAAACATGACCTAGAAATACAGCCTACTTTGTTTCAGAACTCCATTAAAGATAAGTCTAGACATCTAAGATAGTATTTATCCTCAACCCTGTCTTTCCTACTGATTAGAAGTAAAAGCCTTGGACAGAAGACACAAAGCAATTGTCTAAGAACTCTGAAAAGTGAATAGTAACAGGCAGATTGGGGAGGGAGAACATTACTAGAAGAATGAGTAATACAGTAGTGAATTTCCTATTTTGTTTGCTTTTCCTCCCATATATCCTAGTTTAGACTTTAGGGCAGTGCAAATCATGGAACTGCACATCAGGTTCAGGAGTCCAAAAGGGTTCCGACAGAACTCAGGCTGAAGGATACTTAGGAAGGGGAGTGAGGGTTGCTGTGGGATGAAGAATGTGGGAGAAATCCCTTGGATTTTGTTTTTTTTTCTTTTCCTTCTATTCTGTTCTTTACACTCCTGGCCCTGCCCCTGGGCAGTGGTAGCTACACATGCATCCAGATAAAAAGTAATTCATTTTTTATTTACTTTAAAACTTAAATAATAAAGATTAATGAGAAAATGGTTAAATGGTTAAAATAGAGAATAAAAGTCAGTGATAAAAGGCTAAATAAGGTCAGTCAAAGTAGAAAAAAATGGTAAAAAAAATTTTTTCCCTAATATCTTTTTTGTAATAAGTTCTATTTAAATAGAAAAGGAAAAATAGACTGAGGTATAATAACAATAATTACAACCCCGAATTAAAAGAACTAATAAAATAAAAGAAAGTTACATAATTCACAAAATAAACTTATAAGGAGAGGAAATAAAAGCATTAGTAAGTTAAAATAAAGCCTGTATACTCTCCAGTGTTTCTATCCCCCACATATGGCTGTTGGTGCTGTGAGGGTCCTCTAGGTAACCGACCTTAGAGATAGGAACTGAGAGCAGAAAGAACTCTCTGGCCCATACCACCATCCCACCTAATCTGAAACTTTTATTCCTTCTCATGGCAAAATTTGCTGTCAAATTTAGCTGCCTCAGCTATTTTCTTTCATGATGTTCCCAGATGGCAAGCAGATGTGTACATCCAAAGACACACTCCCTCCCCCTGCTTGTGTTATTCTAGCAGTGAGTTTGTACATACACTGGCTTTTCCTCACCACTTCCTAGTCCTCGTGACAAAGGGGGCATGCATATTAAGAGCCCAACAATTGGACAGAGTGGTAGTGAATGGCAGTGAAATAATTTTTTTCTGAGAGAAAATGTTGCTTATGCGATTAATTTATACCCTTGCTTTATCCCCTTTGCTCACCAGCAGGTTATAAGTGTCTTAAAGTTTCTGTAGATGTTTATAGCTGATGGAGATTTACATGCCGTGAGGATTGACCACTGTGGATCTCCGTGTGATAGGTTTCAGCAGCTGTATCTTGATATGTAAAACAAAGATGCTTTGTATAGTAGCCACATTTCTGAAAAGCAGTATGCAAAGTAAGGATTTCTAAACTGAGTTTTACAGTATATTAAGAGGAGTAGAAGCAGTATAAAGACTGTTCTCTATAGAACTCATAAGAGGTTTGCCATCATGATTGAAAGAATAGATTTTAGATTCAGTTAGACTTGGTTTCAAATCCCCTCTCTGTTACTTGCTATCAGTATGATCTTGGGCAAATCATCAGACTTCTCTGAACCTCAGTTTTCTTATCAATAATAGTATCCCGTGCATCATCTGAGGATGAAAACATATGCCGGTAGAGCATACTGGCTCATGGTTATGTGTTCTGTGCACTAGTATTTACTGTCCTTGCCATCTTAAGTTTTTCATACACTAAGTTAGCTGGTAGATAAGAGGGTTGCGAGATTACTTCTTTAACTTAATAGAAAAAAATGATTATCTTAATGCTTCTTTTATGTTATTTTTATTGGAATAGTGTCTTTTCTGCTTTATAGATATCATTGAAATGGATTCGAAGCGTGTGCCTAGAGATAAGTTGGCCTGCATCACCAAGTGCAGCAAACACATTTTCAATGCCATCAAGATCACCAAGAATGAGCCAGCTTCAGCCGATGACTTCTTACCCACTCTCATCTACATTGTTTTGAAGGGCAATCCCCCACGCCTTCAGTCTAATATTCAGTATATCACCCGCTTCTGCAACCCAAGCCGATTGATGACTGGAGAGGATGGCTACTATTTCACCAATTTGGTAAGTACAGGGTAATAGGTAAGGAGAGGAAGCCAGGGTACATAAGGAAGTGCTTCTGGTAAATTGTCTAAAAAGACAATTTAAGGTACTTGAATCTCCAAACCTCCAGAAATGTGTTGTGATTTATTTTTACATCTTAAATTTATATTCTTTTTTGTACCTAATTTTGTGTTTTTCTTTTTTTTCCTTTTCCTTTAAGTGGATTCCCCAAAGCATATAAGCTTCAGGTCCCTCAAAACCTAGACCTGCCCTCTTACTCATCACCATCAGTCATTGTGTTCGCCTACCTGTTACTGTATTGCCAGCATTTGGGGAGTGTGGTTTGCAGGTGGAGGGACTTCAGAATGCTTTTTCAAAGTGATGTTTGCTCCATTATTTGCAGTGTTTTTTATCCTTCTAGATATACGGTTGTTTATACTCCACAAAAAAACTTAGTGACCGAAGTACTCATATTCCTTAACAAAAATGAAACATGCACTTGACTGCTAGAGAAGAGCGTTTGGATGCAATTGTTTATCTAGAGAGTATCAGACAATCCGGAAATCCTGAGAAGTATGGAAATGGAAACATGGTAGTAGGAGATATGAAACAAGACCAGCAGATGTTTGAGGGTAGCCCTCGTTGTTGACAGTGGAGTCTGCTGGCTTCCTACACTCCGCAGCTTCCTGGCGCCTTGACTTACAGCCTTAACTATGTTTGCACCTTCTTTTTTCATCTTGTTCTTGCTCAGAGTGGGCTTCTAGTCCCACTTCGTCAATGAAACTGCTCTGGCAAAAGTAAAAAATCTGCCAGTTGCCATATTCCATGGGGACCTCTCAGTCTTCATTTTAGTTCACTTCTTTAACACCCTTGATGACTCCTTTGTTCTGGAACTTCTTATGTCTCTTGGCTTCCACGATTCCAGTACTTCTTGTTTCTTTTTAGGTTTTGTGTCCTCTACTTCCTCTTGAATTGTGTCACTCCCTGGGGTTCTGTCCTCTCTGCATTTCTCTCCCTAGGCTGTCTCCTGTGGTCACAGCTCTGCTGGTCACCTGTACAGTGATGACCCACAGGTTTGTGTCACCTGTTTTGACCTCACGTTGAGCTCCACTTCCAGCTATTTGTTGTGCCTCAGACTTAATTTGTTCACAACTAAAACTGCTTCCCCACCAAATGTTTTTTTCTTTTCTGATATGTAGTTGACCCTTGAACAACATGGATTTGAACTGCGTGGGTCCGCTTATTTGCAGATTTTTTTAACACCTGGTCTTCCTAGGCGGTCTCCCATCCAAGTACTAACCAGGCTCAATCCTGCTTAGCTTCCGAGATCAGATGAGATTTTTTTCAATAAATTTTTTAAATGTATTTTCTTTATGATTTTCTTAATAACATTTCCTTTTCTTAGTTTACTTTATTGTAAGAATATAGTATATAATGCATGTAACATATAAAAATGTGTTAATCGGCAGTTTATGTTATGGGTAAGACATTAAATCCAGTCAAGAGAAGGCTACTAGTAGTTAAGTTTTGGGAGAGTCAAAAGTTATATTTGGATTTTTGACTGTGGGGCTTAGTAGGGGATTAACTTCTATGTTTTTTAAGGGTCAATATACACTGTTTCCATTAGTGGCAATATTATATATCCATTCACCTAAGCCACGAATATTAGGCTGGTCTTAGAGTCCTCTTCTCTCCAGATAAAGGGCTGTAGCAATTCCATACACAGTGTGAGCCCATACGGAAGAGTCAGATGGGCACGTTCTCATCAGATGAATCAGTTGTAATAGATTTGCTAAGTATTCCTTAGAAATGATTTGCTTTTTTATGTGTAATGGAGTAGAATCCTGTGAATGAGTCTCTCAGAAATTCTGAGAGCTACCTATTTCCCCCTGATTATATTACACGTTTTTCTTGTGAAAATAGTTTTAAAAATTGTAAATGGTGTGTGTTTCTTGTAGAAATATATGATATAAGTAAATATAACTGATGTCAGCTTCACTGACTGTTAGCAACAGACCTATGAGCTAAGCATGTTACATGTGTTACATTGTTTAATTCTCACAATAAATCTGGGTGGGATTCCTCCATTTTACAGATGCAGAAACCTCACAGAGCTTATGAAACTTCCCTAGGGTCACACAAATCTGCTGTCAAGTGACAGAGGTGACAACTCAAGTTGCCTGATTTCAAAGCTTGTTCTTTTAACCATATGATTTAAAATATCTCTTGAGGCCCAGCGGTCTGTGTGCCACACCAGTACCTGGGGGCACACTCAATGGCTGGTCATGCCCAAGTGGGCATTGTGGGACTGGCAGGACCTCAAAAGGAAATGGCTTTATGGGGCATGCCCCCAGATGCTTGGCTGTGGAGCTCTTGGCCACAGTTCCTCTGCTCTACAACATGGCAGGGAAGCAGAGAGCCTCTGACTTCAAGGAATTATTCAGTTTTTATCCATGGGAAACTCTGTAGTAGCCAGTGTAGAACAAACACTGGCGGTGCCCCCTCAAATATTTCACTCTGTACAAGACCCTAGCACCTTTGAACAACCCAAGAACAGAACTAAATTTCTGACTGTCAGACACAGTGGGAATTGGTAATTAACATTTTTTTAAAACATTTTTTTTTTAATTTGTAGAAAATTGTTTCAGATGGGAACATAAAGGAAACATGACTGGCTGTGAGTTGGTAGTTTTCAAAGCTGAAGTCCATGGAGGTTCAGTAGGCTAGTATATTGTCTACTTTTGTTTCTGTTTTAAATTTGCCGTAATAAAAGGATTTTTAAAAATCTATTAGAATATTTGTAGTTCTTCATATGACTATAATAAATAACATTCTCTTCTTTTTCTAGTGTTGTGCTGTGGCTTTCATTGAGAAATTAGATGCTCAGTCTTTGAATTTAAGTCAGGAAGATTTTGATCGATACATGTCTGGCCAGACTTCTCCCAGGAAGCAAGAATCTGAGAATTGGTCTCCTGATGCTTGTTTAGGTGTTAAGCAAATGTATAAGAACTTGGATCTCTTGTCTCAATTGAATGAACGACAGGAAAGGATTATGAATGAAGCCAAGAAACTTGAAAAAGACCTAATAGATTGGACAGATGGGATTGCAAAAGAGGTTCAAGACATTGTTGAGAAATATCCACTTGAAATTAAGCCTCCAAATCAGTCTTTAGCAGCTATTGACTCTGAAAATGTTGAAAATGATAAACTTCCTCCACCACTGCAACCTCAGGTTTATGCAGGATGATAAAAATGTACATGGATAGTATTTATTTAGCCTAAATTGTAGCTAGCTGTTACTACAGTCCACTGAATGGATCTAAAATGTAACTTAATTGCTTATAAATGTCAGCAATTTTAAAGGTACAGTTTGTGGGGATTCTTTTTGTTTTGTTTTTCCTAAGGGAAGCTTAGTAAATAATAAAGCAGTATTTATTTGAATTACTGAAATAGATTCATTTAAGGCATGTGTGAAAATTTCGTCTAAATCGATTTTTTCTCCATGATTTTTCTATATGCTTCCTTCGTGGCATTCAATGTAATATGGATTTGGGTAAATAATTGCCTCTTAAAGGATAAAACAAGTGAATGCTACGAAATGTGTGTTCAAGGGAATTCAGTGGTACCACTACTCTACACTTTGAAATAATTTTATAATTGTAAAGATAGAAGATATATTGATAAGTATGTAAAATTGTAAATATGTTAAAAAAAAAAAAGGAATGGTATGTATCGTGCATGGCATTTCATGCGTCCTTTTTTTTTTTTTAGTTTAAAATGGTTTATTTAATGTTTCCTTTAATACCGTTTTATTTGATTTCCCCACTAAAGTGAATCTAGAAGTGTTTAGACATACTCCCCTTAAAATTTTGACTCCATCTTTAACAATATGGTAACCCTAACTTTGAGGTACTGTAGAGTCAGAAACTATGACACCATTGAGGTTCAGGACAATTTTAAGTCATATAAAGTCACTGTACAGTTTAGTCAATGAAAGACTTTGAACCATGCTTCACACACCTCTTTCCTCTTTTCATTCAGCAGATATTGAGCTCTTTGATGTAAAGGAGAACTTGCTCTGGGTCAAAGGACAGGGGAATGAGTGGGACTCTGCTGGTGAGAGCTGATGGGGTGCCCTCAGAGCTATAAAGTACAGAGGGAGGGGGACCTTTTGCCTCCATAGTGTACTTTTGACTTTATGGACAGCCCCGACACATGTCATATAAACTTTCATGGTTTCTCAACCTCAATACTACTGATATTTGGGACCTGAGGGGTATCTGTTGTGGGGGATTATGCACTGTAGGATGTTTAGCAGCATCCCTAGCCTATGTATCCACTAGATGGCTACATAGGCTCCCCACAGTTGTGAAAAATTATCTCCAGACATTGCCAAATGTGTCCTGGGGTGGGGGGCGGCTACAAAATCTCTCCAGTTAAGAACCACTGATCTATTTTGTAAGCAAGGGAGTTATCCTCTTGGTAGTTAATACAGTATAACCAAAGAATATTGCATTAAGTGCACAGCGTAATGTTAACTGATATCTCATTCAGTGAGACTTTACAGCCACTGTCCGTGTGGAACCTTTTCTAATACTAATGGAACCTTTCATAACCTAAATATGTGATTGATGTTCCTCCTTCCCATCAGTGATTTCTTCAGATTATCAGTGTACCTGGGAAATTGAAATTCCCAGGGCACCGTTCTTAAACAAGGTCATATCACACAAGCAGTAAAAAAGTTTCCTTTTCTTTTCTAATACCTTGTTAATAGTGTACCCACAAATTTGTAGTGCAGTAATTTTGAAGTAAAACTAGGGTAAGTATAAAACTTTATCTTTTACTTAAATTTAAATATAAAATCCATCAAGTTAACACATCTATTGTCATAAGCACTGAGGATATGAAGCGGTTCGCTGAGACAGTTCATGTGGAATGGAAGAGTTGCTCTCAAATATTGGTGAGAATTAGCTGTTAGAAACCTGGGTCCAAATGATTCTCATAGAAAGCTCCCCCAACCACTTTTTTTTAAATTTTCTATGTATTTTCTAGGTGCTAATCCAGGTATACATACTCAATTCTCCTGGGAATATATAGTTCTTTTAGTCTGTGTGCATTGTTTGTTAAATAAAATGTGTATATCAGCCTCCCACTAAAGCTGTTCTCTTGATTTCTTACATATCTTTAAAGTAATTTGTTGAGTTAATTTTTTTGTGTATCTCTCATATTGGTCGAATTCTTCAGATATGGATTCTTGCCTTAGGTAGAGGCTTATTTTTCTCTTAAGGCAGCATCAATACTATGGCCAGAGTTTCTTTTTTCTCAATAAGAAAATATTAATATTTTATGTAATATAAATGTGATTAGAGTAAACCTTTGTGACAGACGTCCTTATCAATAAAGTTTCATGATCCATTCCTCTTCCAAATTGAATTTTAGTTCATCTTAGGAAAATCTACATTATTATTGTTTTCATGTTAAAAAGGTTTCCCCTTTAAGCCACAGACATCATTATCATACTTTAAAATAAAACATTAGAGGCACCCCAGTTAAAAATAGCAAGAGAAAGATGTCTGCTGTCACTACAGTAAGCATTGTTTTGAAATTTTACCTAAGGTGCTCAGACTTCAAGCAGAAATAAGGGTAGAGGGGGAAAGGGGTTAATGTAGTAAATATAGAGCTATTATATCCTGGTAATTGAGGACATGAGCTCGGGCTAGAGGGCTTGAATTTGGTTTTGAATTTTGACTTTGCCACTTACCTTATTATATTAGCTCTTTGGCCTTGGGCAGGTATCTCATATTTCATATACCTCATCTGTGAAATGAGGAGAATAATAGTACTTTCTTCAAAGGGTTGTGAAGATTAAATGTCTTAGAACACTACCTAGCAATGCTAAATGCTCAAGTGATAGCTATTATTTGTAGACGATTTTTCTATGTAGAAAACCTAAGAGAGTTGGTATTGAAACTATTATTAAATTTTACTAAAGTTGTGAGATGTGAAATGTTAAAATGGCCATTAATAGTAACTATAAAAAATGACTTTTCTATATCATTACTAACTAGTTAGCAAATAAAATGGGAAATATTTATTCACAATAGGAACAAATAAAAATCACCTAGAGGTAACAAGAGCTTTCGGGAATTATATGAAAAAAATTACAAAATTGATTCTGAAGCACAAAAGAATAGAGAGAGATACAAGGGTCTCTGTGGTTGTGTAGGGTCCTGTGCTCAGAAGGTCCTTGTGTTAGGGTTTTAATGTTTTGTCTTTGCCATCTTAGAATTTCTTAAAAATGTATTAGGATGACATTGGTTAATAAAATTATATAGATTTTAAGAGTACAATTCAGTAATACATCATATATATATTGCATTGTATGTTCACCATCCAAAGTTAAATTTCCTTCTGTCACCATATATTTGACCCTTTTACCTTTATCTATCTCCCCACACACCCCCATTCACTCTTGACAACTGAACTGTTTGTCCGTGTCCATGAGTGTTTGTCTTGTTCCTTTGCTCCTTTCAGTTTTATATCCCACATATGAGTGAAATCATATGGTTCTTAACTTTTCTCTCTGACTTATTTCACTTAGCATAATCCCAAGATCCATCCATGTTATCTTTGAATTTGTGTTTTTAAGTGATGATGGGACAGTGGAGTATGCAGTGAGGGTTTGGAGCCTGAGCTCATACACAATTCTTCTTCATGACATCTCTTAGGCTGGGTTCTTGGTCTTCTCACTTCTACTCTGTGACCAGTCTAGTCAAGGCCTGAGACTCAGGTGTCATTGGGGCTGGGTATGCATGCCTGTGGTATCTTGGAGCAGAGTATGTTTGCACATCTGGTGGATAGCTGGCAGGAGCTACATCTTGGTCAGTGGAGGACAGCATGCTTCTTGGAGAAGAGGCTGAACCCAGAGCTGGGGTTGGAGAGAAAACAAAGAATGAGAAACATTTATGGTCCAAAAGTAAGCAAGTACTTTAAGATTAATGGGCATATCTCAATAGGATACAGGAATCAGTTTTAAAGGGTTCCCACTGGCCAAATTTGGGGCAGTTTGAACAGAAAACTACTGAGAGTATTTAATTGTGGAAAATACTGTTTTAAAAAAAATGAAAGAAGAAAACCCTCACATACTGGAAGTATACCATTATACCTACCCATTTGTGAAGAACTATAGTTGACACCAAATTGATGGAGGTAAAGCTGCCTTCACAGAAAATAGCTTTAGTAAAAGTAGAAAAAATAGTAGAATCTTAAAAATTGTTTTAACTCAGGACCAAATGGCTTCACTGGTTAAGTCTACCATTTAAAGAAGAATTAACATCGATCCTTCCCATTCACTTCTAAAAAATTGAGGAGGAGGGAACACTTTCTAACTCATTCTTTTGAGGCCAACATTACCCTGATACAAAGCTAGATAATGACACTACAAGAAAATAAAACTGTAGACCAACTTCCCTGATGAATATAGATGCAAAAATTCCCAATAAAATGTTGGCAAGTCCAATTTAACAGTACATTAACAGGATTATATTCCATGACCAAGTGGGATTTATTCCTGGAATGCAAGAATGGTTCAATGTTCAATAATCAATGCAATACACATTAACAGAATGAAGAGAAAACATGATATGATCTTAATGCAAAAAAATTATTTAACAAAATTGAATACCATTCATAAAAATAGTCAATAAACTAGGAATAGAAGGAAACTACCATAACAAAATCATAGACATACTGTATATATGTGTAAAAAAAAAAAATAAACATCATACTCAAAGGTGAAAGATTGAAAGCTTTACCTCTAAGACCAGGAAAAGACAAGGATAGATGCCTGCTTTCGCCACTTCAAGATAACACATGTTGGGATTATCTGACAAGAATTTTAAAGACGCTATCATAAAAGTGCATCGATGAGAAAAATGAACATACTTGGAACAAATGAAAAAGTAGAAAGTCCCAGCAAAATAACTGAAGATATAAAAAAAAGAACCAAATGGAAATGTTAGAACTGAAAATTACAATAATAAAAATAAAACCCACTATTGGGCTCCTCATTGGAAGGGAGATTACAGAGGAATGAATCTGTGAACTGAAGATTGATCAATGGAAATTATTGAATCTGATCAACAGAAAATAGACTGAAATTAGCCTTGGGAACCTCTGGGACAATAACAAAAGATCTAGCATTCTTTTCATTGGAGTCCCAGGAAGAGAGGAGAAAAAATTTATGGCTAAACAAATATTAAAATAATTAATGCCTGAAAGTTTACCAAATTTGGCTAAAGGCATAAACCTATAGTTTCAAGAAGCTGTGTGAATTCCAAACAAAATAAACCCAAAGAAATCCATGCAAAGATATGTTATAAACTTTTCAAAATTAAAGACAAAAAATCTTGAAAGTAGTTAGCAAGGACAGATTATCAATGATTTGAATGACATTGGATTTCTCGGAAGCCACGGAGGCCAGAAGGAAGTGCTGACCACGATGTGGATCACTCATACAATCAGATAAGAATCTAATATGGTATAGCTACTCTGGAAAATAGTTTGCATACTTCTTATAAAACTAAACATGTAATTATCATACAACCCACCAATAGCATTGTTGAGCATTTATCTCATTTATCCCAGAAAAGTGAAAATTTATATTTCACAGAAAAACATGTGCACAATTGCTATTTATGATAGCCCCAAACTGGAAACAATCCAAATATCCTTCAACAGGTGAATGGTTAAACAAATTGTGGTACATTTATACAATGGAATACTACTCAATAATAAGGAATAAACTTGATACACCAGCTTGGATATATATACTGAATGAAAAAATTCAATCCCAAAAGGTTACATACTGTATGATTTTATACACACACACACACACACACACACAGATACATACATACATACATACATACATACATTACATATTTATGCATATATGTATAAAAACTTATAGAGATGGAGAACAAATCAGTGGTTCACAGGCATTCAGAATGGGGTGAGGAGGGAGTTGAGTATTGTAATAAAAGGCCAACACAATGGATCCTCTTGGTGTGAAATTGTTTTGTATTTTTACTGGCATGATAATTGCACAAGTTTACACATGTGATAAAACTGCATCAAACTAAACCATAAATAATATTATATAAAGCCAGCAAAATCTGTATAAGTGTATTGTTTCAGTGTAAATTTCCTGGTTGTGGTATTGTACCACAATTCTGCAGGATGCTACCATTAGGGAAAACTGAGTGAAAAGTACGTGGGATTTCTCTCTAGTATTTCTTACTTTTTTAAATCTATTAAACCATGTGGAAACCACTCAAAGGCTCATGAAGTGATGAATGAATGAATTTAAAAAAATTGAATATTAATCAGCCACAAAAAGGAAGGAAGTACTGAGATATTCTATAACGAGGATAAACTTTGAAAACATTATGCTAAGTGAAAGAAACCAAACACAAAATGTCACACATTGTATGGTTTTATTTATATAAAATGTGCAGAATAGGCAAATCCATAAAGACAGAAAGTAGATTAGTGCTTGCCGGAGGCTGGGCAGAGGAGAGACAGGAGAGTGACTGCTAATGGGTACAGGGTTTCTTTGCGGGGGGGTGATGAAAATACTCTGGAATTAGTAATAATGGTCTTACAACTTTATGAATATACTCAAAATACTAAATTGTACACTTTCAAAGGATAAATCTTATGATGAGTTATATTTCAATAAAGCTTTCAAACCTCAGAATAGTAGCTGCAGAACTCATTGTTGGCATCTAAAATTTTTCAGACACATTATCCAGACTAAAGTGGGGCATTTACTTTAAGGCTTTTGTCTTTACTTGAGTATAACTTAAATTTGATGTGCTTTAAGGACAATGCACTGTACATAATTTTAGCAGCTCTCCTTTTGTTTTTATCAGAATTTCCTCTGTTGATTTTGCTAAGATATTTATAGGAATATTTGCCAAAAAGAAAAAAAAAAAGTATGCTAGCAAAGAGTACATATAAAAATGGGAAGTAAATAGGCACTTTGCAGTGAAAGATGTTAAATGCCCAGTCCTCTATTGCTTAAATAAAAATAAAGTTATGTAGATACAAAAAGATATATTGTATATATATATCAGCAACAAACAGGTGGAAAC